GGTGGAAGCACCCCAGTGTCCATAGACAGATGAGTGGATAAACAATGATACATCCATACAATGGAATATTATTCAGCCTTAAAAAGGAAGGAAATTCTGACACAGGCTGCAACATAGATGATTCTTAAGGACATTATGCTAAATGAAATGAGATATTTACAAAAAGATAAATATTGTATAAGTCCACTTATATAAGGTACCCAAAGTAGTCATATTCATAGTGACAGAAAGTAAAATGGTGGTTGCTGGGGGCTGGGAGAGGGAAAATTAAGAGTTATAATTTAATGGGAACAGAGGTTCAATTTTACGAGATGAAAAGAGATCTGGAGATGGATGGTGGTGATGGTCACACAACAGTAAATATGCTTAATGCCGTTGAACTGTACATTTGAAAATGGCTGAGGGTAAACTTTACATGTACTATACAATTAAAAATAATTTTTAAGAAGAATGGTTCGAAGAACTAAGTAACTTTCGCCCAGATTCACAAATTATCATTTTGCTGTATTTGCTTTGCCTTTCTAAATACACACACTGTATATTTCTATATCATTTGAAAATAAATTGAAGAAATAATCTCCCTTAACTGCCAAGTACTTATCTCTGTATTTCTTAAGAACAAGGAGATTCTCCTATATAACCACAGTACGATTACCCACATCAGGACATTTAACATTAATACAATTCTTATCTCAACCACAGTTCATTTTCACCTTCACCAAGGGTCTCAATAATCCATTTTCTTGACTCTGATTTTCTGTTGGGTTTGGAGAGGCTTCGTAAGTGGAATAGGTGGGGGTAAAACGAGAGCAGTTCAGGGGCCCTACACACATCTGGGGTTTGGGGAGGCTAGAACAACACCTACTGGACCCCTCGAGTTTTACAAATAATGGTAGTGAACCTCCAGAAAGGGAAGGAGCCTGGCTAAAAGTGCCACTTTCCCCTGCCCCCACTGCCCCGCTCTGTCCCTAGAGCTAAAGCCCACAGTTTTCACAGCCATGAAAACCCTTATTCCAGCTCTCTGGGGTTTCTCAGCCATCTAGAAACTAGTCATCCTCATTGTCAGCCCTGGACCTGTGATTACAGATTCTGCAGCTCAGCACCCTTTTGGTTAAGCCCCTTAAGTCTCCAAATCGCAGAAAGGCATGACAGCAAAATGGCCTCTGGTGGTACTATGGGAGTTGCAAAGTGATCCACCTCACCCGTTAGACTTCCCTAACTAGAAGGTAAGATTTTTCCATGAGTTATATAAAAAGAGTAGAGGATTTAAAGAATGCTTTTGCTTCCAACCCCAAGATGGGATCTTAAACACTTCCTATAACAAACACTGGCAATATCTCCGTGTTTGTTTTTCAAATGTTTTTTTTTCATTTTCCCCAAACCGTGGTAGCTGTTAGTGCTGGGGGTTATATTTTTGGCTCAAGTGGCCTGGGTGTGCCTCTCTCCAAGTATGACTGTGCTTATTTACATACGGAAAATCATTCCAGAGGGTGATTATACTCCTTCCACCAGTTACGGACTGTGTGTGCAAAATTTCTCTTTTGAAAACAGGTGGCTCATTTGGGAGAGATGAGTAACATGGTATAACAGTATGTACACTGTAATGCTGATTGCCTAGGAGGGCACTGGGGCGTGGGGAAAGCACATGGATTTCTTGGTAGCCAAGTGAGCTTAGGCAAGGCTTTTGCCTCTCTGGGCCTCAGGCTCTTCATCTGTCAAATGGGATAATGCCACCTAGTTAGTTGGCAGGAAGTATTTTCAGGATAAATAATGGCCTCTGTCGAATGCTTCACATGATGTCTGACACATGCTGGGCATTCGGTACTTGAGCCCAGGCTTTTCTCCCTTGTGGCAGATCACTGTGAGCTTCCTGCCCCCTGGATCTGTGCCCAGGTGGGCAGCGAGGATGCCTGTAGCACTGAAAACATAGTTTGTTGCTAACACTTGTGCCAAGGGGTGTCACATTTGCTCCTTCTGAATGAGCTTCTCTCCCAAATAAGTCCTAACTTGTCCTCCCCTGCTTGATTCCAATTCCTGCTCCATGTTGCATGTGGGGGAAGAGGGAGAGCCTTGAGAACCACTGCTCATTCTGAAGCTCACAGCCTGGAAGCTAGGAGGCCCTCACACTTACAAGCAACCACGAGCCCTCCCCACACTGTCCCACCCATCCTCCTTTCAACAGCACCCTCGTGTGACCACTGTGCATGCTAATGCTTTGGTGACCTGCCTCTGCTCTCCCCCCTCCAAGGCTGCCCCTTACTGTTGACATAACTATTTCACTTAGTGAAGAGTATGGCAGTTGGGCAAGATGTCAGCCAGGACCCATCAACTCCAAATCTCTTGGAAATAACCTTCATCACTGATTAGGAAAGCTGAGCCTTCCAAAGCCTTGGTTCCCTATTCCATTGAAAGGGAAGAGAGTCTCCAGATGGCCAAATTGATCTCCTGTCAAAAAGGTGTAAGTTACATCTAATGTGTATTGAGCACTTCCTATATACCAGGGACTTTACATGTGTAGCCCAAATATAACTGGGGCCCTGTGCTGCCCACTTTCTTTCTGGTTGGTAACCAAATTCAAAGAAATAGCGGTACTGCATAAAACCTAATTAAGTACTATTCAAATGTTTACTTGGTTTCTCAAGAAAATGCCAAAGGATTTGGCATTTCTCCATGCACTTTGAAGTCCTCTTCAGACAGTTCTCCTTCTCAGGTTCTTCTGTTACATAGTAGCTTCAGAAAAAGCACTGCTCTCTCTGCTTCCCTCCAGAATTCCCCAAGCCCAGCCCCGACAGCTTGTCTCCCCACACAGTACCCTCACTCCCATATTACTCATCTAGTCTATTTTCTCACCCATCACTCCTCTGTGAAATATGATCTGCCTCCTTCCTGGAAGTTTTTTCTCTCACTTCCCAGGAAGTGGGACCCAGGGTTCTTGGAGAGTGAAATCCTCCACCTTGCTGTACATGGAGCACCTCTTTTAATAATCAATAGCCATTAAGTGGCAGAGGTGGGATCTTAGCCTACAGGTCATCAGATTCCAGTCAGATGCTTGGCATAATGGCTGTCATAGAATACGTACTCAATAATAAGCTTCTCTCCCCTTCTCTGGTCATGTCATATCTGCTCAAGAACCTGCAAGGGCTCCCTATTGCCTGGAGCAGGGATAAGCAAACTATGTCCTGCAGGCTGAATCTGGCCTGCCACCTGTTTTGTAAATAAAGTTTTATTGGAACACGAAAGCTGCTTTCACCATACAGAGTTGAGTAGTTACAACACTGTATGGTCGGCAAAACCTAAAATATTTCTTATTTGGCTCTTTACTGAAAGGGTTTGCTGACCCCTGGCCTAGAGAATAACAGAGACTGCCTCTTATCTTCCTTTGGATCTACTATGGAGCAAGTGCTTAATAAATAAATGAAAAGATGTCCACACCATCGTCGTGGAACCACAGCCCTAAATGCAAAGAGATCCCAAATAAAGTCAGACACCCCAACTTACCTGGTTCTAAAACAGTGCCACACATCCTGGCAGGTTGCAGACAGCCCTTCCAGGACTGCCACAGATATCTCAGACTCCTGGACCCTCTGGAGCTTTCAGGAAAGTTGAGATGATTAAGTCCACTGCTTCTCCACCCTTTTACATCATACTCCCTTCTGACAGAAACATTCCATACTCCTGTTTGCCACGCAACATAAAAATGGCTTTCTTTTAAATTCAACAACAAAATTATAATGTTGAATATGCTTTTCAACCTATACTCACCCTTCACTCATTAAAATGATTGATCTTGTCTAACTTGCTCATTTTGCCACTGGGAAAACTGGGGTAAGGACTCAGGTGCTCAAGGGGGATCCAGTGCAATGGAAACAGAGCGAGGCTCTCCAGCGCTCCCGATGCCCAGCTCAGCGCTCAGGTGTCCCTCAGACTCCACTCCTGGCCGGGTGTTTGAGTATGTGGGGTGGGGGAGGGCTGCTCTCTCTCCTGGCAGCCCCCAGCTGGGTTCTTGTGCTGTCATTGCCTCTATCAGGTCCCTCGGAGCTCAAAGCTAAACTATGGGTCTCCCAAGGGAGAAAGGTGATTGTGTGCTGGGTCTGTGGTGCTGAGGCTTGAGGGAGACAGGAACCTTGAGTTCCAGACCCAGGGCTACCAACAAGGAGAGCCAGCCCAGGTCAGTGAGAGGCAGCTGGGGCTTCAGGACTCCCCAGAGGGATTGAGAAGCCCTCTTTAAGTCCAACCAACCACCTCCTGTCTCTGGCCTGCCTCCTCTCTCAGGCTGCTGGCTCCTCATCCTTGACCCAGGATGCCATTCCTGCCATGCCGCCCATCTGTCTGTCTCTAGCTCCTTACACCTCCCCCCATAGTCACGCCTCACTCTAGTCTAAGGCAACGCCCTGTCAGTCTGACAGAGGTGCTTGATGAGCATTGGCAAAATAGCAGCCTGTAGGCCCAACACAGCCCACGTATGTGTTTTGTTTGCCTAACACAGTATCTCAAAAACAATTTGAATTAGTTGCTCACATTTAAAAACCAGTAGGAATCATTGTAAACATTGGGTTTCTTGGTTCTCTTGAAAAATAGACTAGCAGTACTGGGCCTGCCTTATTTCCTGGCATGGCATCAGCTGACTGGGGCTAAGGAGCAGCTACTCCATCTAGATGGGAATGTGTGCACCAGTCCTTACCATTTCTTGTTGCTTCCCCAGTCCTCCTGCTATACTCCTTTAGATGACCTGTCTGGCCTTGGAAGGCATTTGAGTTTGCAACCCCAAACTTGCTCACTTTGGTCCAAGCCCCTTTTTGCCTCCCATCCATCTCATCAGCTAAGATCCTCCCATCCTGCAACCATCCCCAGTGATTAACCCAGCCTCCTGACCACCCGCTCTCTCAGCCCCACAAGTGTCAAAGGAGACAGTGCCCCAGGTGCTGCCCCCCAAACATTTCTGCAGACCTACAGCTCAGTCCCCAGGAACCCCCACTCCAAGCCACTCAATTCCCATGGTGGTCATTCAGGAACCATGGTGGGCATCCTTTATTAGGTCTAAATAAGGACCCCTGCATTCTTGTACTGAGGTAGGAGTTCTTGGATTTTGTACCGGGGTGCTGTGATGGCTTGGACAACCCTCAGTGGGGGGAGGCATTTCTGGGGTGCCAGAAAAATGGGATAATGAGGTTTAGTCTTCTTGTTGAAGCTACACAAATTCAGCGTCAGAGAATTGGGGTTGTAAACCCCTTTCTTCTTGTGCCGGATTGGAGTGAATGGTGGAATTTGGCGAGACTTCACCAGCAGCTGCACCAGGTCCTTCCGAAAGATATTCCAGCTGTTCTCCATGAGGAACTTCTGGCACATATCTTCATCGCTAAAGGTAAGACATAGACGCTGAGGCTCGCACACCAGCTCCTCCCTGTCCCTTTGCCCTCCAGTCTTGCCTCCTACCACTCTTTGCAACCACTAAACACAATGTGCTCCATCCCACTTCTGTGCCTGTCCTAAAACTCTTCTCTCCACCTCCTTTACCTTTCCACACTTTCTTCCCCTAGACCTGCGCGGTTCCACGTGATGGCCATGAGCCACATGTGGCTACTTAGTACCTGAAGTGTGTCCAGTCTGAACTAGAGATGTGCTGTGAGTGTAAAATACACATCTGATTTCAAAGACTTAGAACAAAAAAAGAAGGTAGAATATCTCATTAACAATTTGTATGTTGATGACATGTTATAATGATACTACTTTAGATACGATAAATTTAATAAATTATTAAAATTAATTTCACCCATTTTTTTTTACATCTTTAATGTGGCTACTGAAAATTTTAAGTTACAAATGTGACCATTAGCCATCAAGGAAACGTAAATCAAAGCCACAATGAAATACCACTTATGCTTACTAGGCCTGCTATAATTAAAATGACAGATAATAAGTGTTGATGAGGATGTGAATCTATTGGAACAACTGTTCCAATACATTACTGATGGGAATGAAAACTGGTGCAGCCACTTTGGAAACAGTCTGGCAATTCCTCAAAAGCTTAAACAGAGTTAACTTATGACTCAGCAAGCCTATTCCTAGTTATATACCCGAGAAAAATGGAAACATATGTCCCCGCAAAAACTTGCACAAGAATGTTCACAGCAGCATTATTCACAATAGCCAAAAAGTAGAAGCAACCCAAAGGTCCGTCATCTGATGAATGGATAAATCAAGTGTGGTATATACATGCCATGTAATGTTATTTGACAATAAAAAGGAATGAAGTGTTGATAACATGCCGCAACATGGATGAACCTAGAAAATACTATGCTAAGAAGCCAGTCATAAAAGAACACATATGGTATGATTCCACTTACATGAAATATCCAGAACAGGCAAATCTATAAAGACAGAAAGCAGACTGGTAGCTGCCTTGGACTGGCCTTGGTGCCCGGGCACGGCTCTGCCCCTGCCCTAACAGCATGTGCGATGGGAGAGGGGAGGAGGGTGGCACGCGCTCAGCACTCATCGGTTTATTTCCTTCTGAGACAACAGCAAGGGAGGGCATGTTCAACTTCCACTGACTCACCTGTACTCTTACCTAAGGAGGCCAGCCTAGTAAATCACTAACAGATTAGAACATTCTTCCGGCTAGATTTTATTGACCAGATCTGAGTCGACTTTCATCTATAGAAATCAACTTAATAAAAATCCAGAGGTCAGAGTGGGCTACGAGCTGGTCCTGTTGGTCTCAGTGGTGTACCAAAGTCAGCTCCTACCAGCCCACAAGAGCTGACTGTATGCATCTCTTTTCAACTCCATGTTCAATGACATCAGGTTGGTAACTCAAAAGCGGCCATGGTGGGAGTGTGCATGCCACAAAAATTGGCAAACACTTCAAAACGGGGTTACCTTCCACCTCCCAGAGAGTGGGTTGTTAAACATTCACCAGCACACCACTGGAGAGTCTCCACTTAAAAAGTTCCATTAACTCCCAATTTCTTACATAATAACACTATCTAACTGACTTAGCATTTACCATGTGCCAAGCATTTTACATTTGTTAACTCATTTAATCCTCACAACCACCTCATTTCACAAACACAGAAACTCAATAAACCTTATGAGGGGGCAAGCAGGCGATTACAAATTCTTAGGGGGTCTTTTTTTTCCTAAAACAGACAAGATTCCATGTCACCTCCTGATGCTAATGGGCACACTGATTTCCAGTGTAGTTTTTCCTGAACAGGGTAGCTCTTCCAAAGGCCTCAGCTTCGCACAGGTGTTTTAGTTCCAATCCCTGCCTCACTTGGACTGTCCTTGCAGGCTGTACAACTTCAACCCATGACGCCCTTAACCCCTATCCATGCCGAGCAATCCCAGCACTGGATCCCACTCTGTGCTTTCATTTTTTAGGCTCTTTTTCATTTTGGCCCTCGGAGACTTCCCTTTTTTGCATACTCAGCTATTGGTTATATTCTCCACGGTCTCCCTGTGTTATGTAGGGGGACAGGTTTCAGGTTATCTAGTCCATGGCATTCACAGGACAGGTGTCTCGGCTACTGACTGTGTGATCTTCAGGATGTCACAGCCCCTTTCCTGAGCCTCGCGGTCCTCAATTAAAACATGGAAGATTTGAGCTAGATAATGGGATATGATTTCTGCCTGCTTTAGCAGTCTAGAAAACCATGAGTTCCACAATTAATGAATGAGCCAGAATTCAATCAGTCAGCAGTATAGATGATTGCGGGAAAGTGCTGACTTGGGCAGCACAGACGCTGAGCGCCCAAACATCTGCCACCCTCGAGTCTATGTAAACCTTTTCTGAATTTCAATTCAACAGACATTAACTGCTACCCGTCACGTGCCAGGCATCATAAGAGGCGCTGAGATTCCTTAACTCCTTCCTTATCTGTTCTTTAATTTACTAATGCTTTTTCTTAAATCTACTTTTACTTAATTATTTACTTTGGCTTTATTCTAAGCAATAAGATCTCTTGGATCATGGGTTTAGTGAGCTAGTTGTGTTATTTTTCTAATTCACACTAGAATAAATACATGGCTGTTAAACTTAACAGTGTCAAACCAGGTGCCACCTAAAATCATCTCGTAAACTTTCAGTGAATATGTTCCACACTTTGGGAAACACTGATCTAGTTCAATTTTCTTGCTTTGCAGATTGGAGTCTGAAGCCTAGAGGAGGGGAAATGACTTATCCAGTGTCATACAGATCCCACATCAAATCCTTTCATGTGCTTATGGGACATGGCAGCAGTAACTCTACAGAGCTGTTTGCCTTTACACCTCCTCTTTCTCTACCGCTAGAATCACTTGCTTCCCACATCTGCCAGCAAAACCAAGTCTGATTACAACATCACCACAAGAAAAAAGAGGAGGATGTAAAATTGTATAATCAGTATGATCCCCATTATGAAACTTTGTGCGCCTGAATGACAAATGCATATTTGGCACATATCCATGTGGTAAAAAAAAAAAAAAATACTAAAAAGAAATACATGAAATGCTAGTTGGGATTGTTGGAGAAATACAAATGATTTTGGTTTTCACCTTTTTAAATGTTCAGCATTTTCCAGTTTTCTGCAATGAGTATGCCCCATTCATTCAACATTTATTGAGCACCTACCAGGTACTGCACAAGGGCTAAAAATCTGAGGTGGATAAAGCCCTTCATGGAGCAATTAACCAAATGGAAGGGAAAGAACTGTACAAAACACATAGCTCTCAACAGCTATAATACAATGCGTACGGTCAATAAAAGAGCTGTGGAGAGAGCATGACGAGCGTACAGAAAGGGGCGTTTACCCCAACTGGGGGTCAGTCAGGAAAAGTTTTCTGCAGGAGATGAATTTTAAAGAATGAGCAGAAATTTATCAGAAAAAGAGGGGCAGGATTGGGAGATGGCATTTCAGGCAGAAGGGCCTGCAATGGCAAAAGTGAGTATGAGCGGGGTCCAGGAGGTGATCTGTCTGGGCTGCTGGAGTGGGTTAGAGGTGGCAGGAGGTGCTGTAGGAGAGTTGAGGGGTCAGACTATGAAGGGCCATTTATGTGGCATTGAGTCTGCACCATATCCTGTAGGCAGTGAGATACCACTAAAAGGCTTTGAGCAGGAGGGTAACATGGCCAGATTTGGGTTTTGACAAGAGCACGGTATGTAGTATGGATCTGGCAAAGGGGAGACTGAGGCAGGGGAACCAGTGGTAAGACTGTCACAGGTGTCTACAAAGGAGGTTCCAAACTGGGGTGGGGAGCATGTCACCCAGGGAGGTAAATAAGATGAGGAAGGTAGTAGAGGTATATAAAGAAAATAGCAGCACTTCATTTATATTTCTCTTTGTCTTATTCTTTTTAAAGACCTATTTTTGTATGTTTTTATAATGTACGTGATACATTAGTACAGCACTATATAGATATAATAAAAATTAACATGTTATTTATATTACACATATATTTTAGAGAAAACACACTCAAACACTTTTTAGTAATAGAGTGTAAGATCAAAGCAATTTTGTGACTACTGGTGTATGCAATAGATTAATTTTTACATAAAAAATAAAGTTTTTTCACATTATAAAAATACTCTGGAAATTTTGAAAACTAGAGAAAAGTAAAAAAAGTTTTTATCGAATCTTTCGAGATAGCTATTTAGTTGTTAAAAGTTATAAAAGTAACATAGCATCATTACCGAAAATTTGGAGAAGAAAAAAAAATCCACTTCTAATGTCACTACCCTGACACAGCTTCTACAGAGTATATCTATTTTTTCCTCATTATGAAAGCAATGCATACTCATTGCAAAAACAAATGTGACAGAAATATGTAACTATAACTAGAAAGTCCTTTTTAGTGCCACCTTTCAGAGAGAATGGCTATTACAAATTTGGCAATAACACAATTATCGTTTTTACTTATTTCCTTCTAGATTTTTCTCACGCTTTTACAAAAGGTAGTCATAGTATATACACAATTTTGTACCCCGTCCTTCTCATTACCATTATGTCACCCATTTCACCTCCTGCTATAGATGCTATAGAGCCAGTAAACTTATGATTTTTAATAAAATAGTTATAGTCTATCAAGGGAATGGACCATAATTTTCTAAGCTATCTCCTTAGTGTGACACACATGGGTAGTGGTGGTTGTTTTACTATTATAAATATGGCTGCTATGAACATCCTAATGCACATAGGTTTCCTCATAATTTAGTTATATAATAATAAATTCACAGGTGGACCATTGCTTCAAAGGGCAGAAACAGTTTTATGGCCCTTGAAACATAATGCTAAAATGATCATCAAAAAGATTGAGCCAATTTAGAGTATAGCAACAACTACCAGTTTCATTCCACCCTTTTCTGCATTAGGTATTATCGTTTTCTCCTTTTACTAAAATAACAGGTAAAAATGTGTTCATTTGATCTGGTGGGGTGTACGCACACACCCAGCACTGACCTGGGGTAGTCGATCTTGAACTTGGATAACTTTTCTGCTACCTCGCTGTCAATCAGTTCGCAGAATTTTTCTTTTCTCATCCTTATCACCTCAGTTCCCAGGCTCATGAGGATCAAGGGCCGCCTGTCTTGCTCGCTGTCTGGGAGGAGGATCTGGTGAAGACCCTAGAGAAAAGAAGTCTCAAAAAGTTTGACCTCAGAGACTATACATTTCTACCAGCAGACTTTCAAGATGGGAAAAACAAGGCCCCAAACAGTAGGTGATCTGGTGGGGTGAATGACCATCTGGGGTCATTCAGCAAGTGATGGGGAAAAGTCCAAGGCTCCTTTTGCTATGTGACATCAAATCCTCTGACTCCTCGAATTAGAAGAGCCCATAAGGCCCTTTGTCCATGTCCTACCTCCAAGAAGCAGGCTCTCCAAGAATCACACTCATACTGTCACTCTCCGGGGGACAGTATTTTACAAGTTTTCCCTTGTATCCAATCTCAACTTTTCCTTCTGCCAAGTAAGCCCATTTTCTCTTCCTTAGGACTACAACAAAAATCAACAGCTAGAGCTATTCCTCCTAGATCTTCCTTTTTGCAGCCACCAGACCCTCCCCCATCCTTTTCTGCAGGTCTTTGCTCATAAATGCATGTTCCTGTTGAGTTTCAGTTCTTTCTCCATCCAGTATGGACTTTGGGGACCACTGGCCTCCTCTCTGCATCTTACGATGCTCCTTTGGCTCCCCGACACAGACTCCTATTTAGTTATATCTGGAAGGGGGACAGAGATTAACAGGCAGACCTGCTTGTTTTATGGACAGCACAACCCCTTTTTAAGAAGACACCCTGAGATGGGGCAAAGCCGGGACTAGCACCCTTGTTGCTGAACTCCCAATCCAGTGCTCACTCCTCAGCCTCTCAGCTATTAAGACTCAGGCAAGGAGGGAAGTAGAGGTCAGTGGCCCCAAAACTCATAATGCCCCACTGTCTTGGTCTTAAAAAGCAAAAAGGCCATAAACCAAGAGGTCTGCTCTGTGGAGGCCATGTGGCATTGGGAATATCCCTAGCTTCAGAAAGAAGACCCAATTGTTTACTTATTATGTGACTGTGGGCAAGTTATACCTCCTTGGGCCATTGTTTGCTCGTCTGTGAACCAGACGTCTCAGAAGGATTCTGAATTGGAAAGATGTAAAGTGGGATTTGGAACAATCCCCACGCCCCCATCACCATTTAGGTTCTAGACCTTGAAGTATGACCATCTGCAAACTCTTCAGTGCTCTGAGCCCTGGCCTTGTCTCTCCCTCATAAGACTGGAACGGAGATGTGTTATCTTTCCTATGAAGTTGTTAAAGGTCCAAACAAGATGGTATGTGTGAAGAGACACAAAGCACCTTAACGTCAGTTAAGCTCAGTATAGTAGGCAGGAAGGTCCTTCTAACCAGCGCCAGGTCTTGTACAGAAACCAGAATAGTTGCCCTTTAGCCAGTTCCTACTGTGTGGTGGAAATATACAGTATATATAAATTTAATCCTTACGGCCATCCTAGGATATAAGGATTATCATCTTCAGATGTAGAAAATAAGGCTCAGAAAAGGAAATTTACTTGTCAAAGGTCATATATCTTACAAGTACAGTTACAATGACCAGGAGGTGATGATGATGATGATGATGATGATAGCACCATCTAACCTTTCCTGAGCATCACTAAATTCCAGCCCCTCTTGTAACTTTCGTGTATATTAACTCATGTAACTCTCACGATAATCCTACAAGGTGAGTACTGATGTTACCTCACTGTACAGAGGATGCTGCAGACGTTAAGAAACTTGTCCAACATAACACAGCATGGAATCAATAAAGCTAGGATTTGAACCCAGATTGTGTGTCTTCACAGTCCATGCTTTTAACCACTATAATATGAGGAAACTGAGGCACAAAGAGGTTAAGTAACTTGCCCAGGGACAGAAAGTGCTGAAGGCAGGATTTGAACCCAGTGACATGTTCAGGGCCTCGCTGTCAGCACTTCTATCTACTCCAATCCATCCCTAAGGCCCCAGCTGGGATCAGGTCCCTTCTCTGCCTAGACACTTCAAATAGCTTCCCGAAGCACCCAGGATAAACTAAAACTCATTGTAGTCACCAAAGCCTGGGCTATCTCACCATGCCCGGCTTTCCAGCCTGGCCTCTTGTTGCCCCTGCTTTATTTACTCTGTTCCAGCCACATCACCCTTCCTGCCAGTACTCTCAACATGATAATCTCCTTCCCACTCAGGCAATGAACTTGCTATTCCTCCATCTGGAACATTCTTCCCTCGTAGCTTGTTCTTTTCATCATTCAGGTCTCAGCTTAAACATCGCCTTCTCAGAGCACCTTCCTCGATAACCCCATTTAAAAAGTCCGACGCCCCTGCCCCCAAAACCCAGTTTTCTATTCTGCTCCTAACGGCAGGATACAACTTTCTAAGTGTTTGCTAATTTACCTGTTTCTTGTCTATCCCCAAACTAGATTGTAAGCTCCATGAGGGCAGGAATAATGTCAGTTTATTTGCCCACACTGGTACCTTGTGCAAAGTTTAAAGCATGGTAGATGCTCAAAAAATATCTGCTGAATGAATGCTCAAATGGAATCTCAGAACATTAGAGCGAGCAGCTCATCCAGGTGAATGTCCTCATTTTCTGATGAGGACACAGATTCAGAGAGATAAAGTGATCTATCCAAGGCCATACAGCTAGCTAGTTAGAAGTAAAATATGATATATCAGCTTATACCACCCCATTATATCATTTCCTTTCTGCTCTGCCCATGGCTCTGGCCTGCCCAGTCTAGACCGTCTCTGAGGCCTCAGCCTGAATGTCGCCTAGAGAGGCTGGTTTCCCTAATGTCTACTCGCTTAAAACCTGGGTCTCTCTACTCTGAGACCTGACTTCTGCTTTTTCCAGGGCTGACCCAGCTCCACCTCCTGCTCCCAAGACAAGGAAAATATGGTCTCCTACCTTCTGGCAGGTGAATACAGTAACAACTGTTACCATTTATTCTCCTACAAATGAAGCCAGTGCCTTGAAAGCAGGGAAAGCTGTGTCTTACCAAAGGCACATCATGAGACATCCACAAGTATTTAAAAAGGGTCATGTTAACAACTATTTGGGGTAGGGGGCTTCTATGCACTGGGCCCTACGTGGTGAATGAAGCAGTGAGGTCCTTGCCGAATCCCACTCCAAAGCCTGCGAGGTCTTCCTAGAAAATAAAATCCGAAGTCCTTGTTCTGGCATTGCAGGCCCTCTTCTCACCACCTACCAAACTGGGCTATGCCTTCCCTGCCCTCCGGGGCCTCCATTCTACCCAGGGTGCCAAGCATCCCAGCTCCTCTACTTTGCAATGTGCCAGGCTGCATTCGTGGGCCCAGGTGCCTGGCCTCAGGTGGCCTGTATTCAGTCCTGGACTTGTCACTCGGAACCACTGACAAGCTACAGTGAACAGTGAGAAGGCTGGAAACTACATTGCCTGAAATCTAGCTGAAGGAATGAAGGACGTTTTGCCTGAATAAGAAAATGAGCAACAGGGCATTGGCACTGTGCCTGGCTCTATAAATGCTCAATGAAAAACAAAACAGCATTCTTTAAATACCTAGGAGCCATCACATGGCAAGGAAGCTGATTTCTTCTGTTTTGTTTGGGGGTGGGGGAGGAGCTAGTTAAAAGTCGCAGCAGACAGAGTTTTACTGAAGAAAAGGAACTACTTCCTAAGAGCTCGAAAATATTCAATTGGCATTGACCAAGGGCCATGTTAGGGCCTGGGGCTCCGGACAGTACTGGGCTGATGACCTTGCCTCCAAAGACACACAATCCAGCAGGGCAAGAGCATTAAGAGCCCACCACAACATGGGTGAGAGGGGAGAAAGAGGCTCCTGGAGATGCTGTAACTGAGGAGCCGTGGAATGGGCATGGCAAGGGAGCAGCTTCCCCAAATACGATGACCACACACAGGGCTCCAGGAAACAGCCCTCCCCAGACAGACCGAGGCCCAGTGCTACTTTTCAGAAAGCCCCCATGCCTCCTCCACGCTGCCTACCCTGTCGCCCAGCTCCGGCACCAATCACCCAGCTCTTACATCAATCAACTCATGGCCACACTCGTTTCATCCATACGTCTCCTTCATTACTGGATAATCATTTTTTAAATAGACTATATGTTTCAGAACAATTTTTGACTTACAAAAAATTAAGATAGTACAGAGTTCCCATATAGCCTGCACCCAGTTTCCCAAATTGAGAAGATAGTACAGAGTTCCCATATAGCCTGTACCCAGTTTCCTGTTAAAATCTTACATTAGTATATCTTACAAGTAATGAACCAATATTAATACATTATCAACTGAAGCCAATGAGTTATTTAGATTTCCTGTTTTTATCTAAAGTTCTTTTTTTGTTCCACAAACTTATCCACTAGGGTTACATTACGTTACATTGTCATGAGTCTTTAGGCTCCTCTTGGCTCTGGCAGTTTCTCAGGCTTACCTTGTTTATGATACCTTAACAGGTTTGAGGAGTACCGGCCAAGTATTTTTGCAGGATGCCCCACTACTAGAATCTGTCTTATTTTTTTCTCATGAGTAGACCAGGGTTATTGGTTATAGAAAAGAGGACCACATAGATAAAGTGCCATTTTCATCACATATCCCATTTTTATCACTGGCTATAGTAGTGTTTCTCAGGTTTCCTTACTGTAGAGTTATTTATTTTTTCTCCTTTCCACACTGTACTCTTTGGAAGGAAGTCACCATGTGCAGCTCCCACCTAAGGAAAAGGGAGTTCTACATGTCCTTTCCTTTAGGGCAGAGTATCTACATAAATTATTTATATAGAATTCTTCTGCATGGGAGATTTGTCTCTTCTCTATTAATTTATGCATTGTTTCAGTATATACTCATGCATGTTTATTTTATACTTTGGGTTATAATCCAATACTACTTTATTTTGCTGCTCATATTGCTCCAGCTTTGGCTATTTGGAGCTCTTTCAATTAGTCCCTGTGTCTATTTGCTATGCCCCCATTAATGTGGCTTTTTTCCCCCAACACTTCCTTACTTCCTGGCACTACAGAATACTCCAGGTTCATCGCGTATATTTCCTGCCCTAGTCCTAGCATCAATCATTTCCCAAGGAACCTTTGTTCCTCCTATGGAAGAATGGTATTAGAAACCAAGATTCAGGTGTCAAGTGTGCTCATTGTTATTAGGGGTGTCATTTCTTTTAGGCCCCATCAGCTGGCACAGCAGAAGATATATGTTTATGTTTATTTATAAATCTTTCTAGGTAACCGTCTGTATCAATATTAAGCTAAACATGAGTGCACACTGATGTCTTCAACTCTAATCCATTACCACCTAGATCATTATAGCCTCCTGCCCTTGTTTATCTGTAAATTCCCACTCCAATAGTGAAAGTTGGCTCTTACCATCTGCCATTCATTTATTTAATTGATTCATTTCAGTACCTACATATAGCAGAATTGCTGATTCCTATCACCCATGGGAAACAACTTTATTAACTAGAATACAATGCCCATGTGCAATTCCTTTTGCTTTTAGTCTTACAGACTCTGGGCATCTCCAAATACTTAGGTCAGCACACTTTTCCCCCGCTTACTTCACAGAGGTTGTTTCATGCATTTGTAATATCATGAGATCCTCTTATCATAGTCTATTCCTTCCTGGGATCCCCCTGACCTCCTAGATGATTTGTTTCATTTTTACTAATTACATACTTTAAGGTTCACTCTGTGCTGTAAAGTTCTATGGGTTTTGACAATGCTTAATGTTTTAAATCCACCATAACATTATCACACAGAATAACTTTATTTAAAAGTTTTTTGAATTTTTCAGAATAATTTTACTGTCCTAAAAATCCTGTATGCTTTACCTATTCATCCCTTCCCCTGAACTCCAAACCTCTGGCCACCACTGATCATTTTACTATCGCTACAGTTTTGCCTGTTCCAGAATGTCACAGAATTGAAATCACACAATCCAAGAACATAGAATATTTCTCCATTTATTTAAATCTTCTTTGAAGTCTTTCATTATAGTTAATAGTATTGTGCTTTTAATTTCAAATTCCAATTGGTCATTGCCTTATCCCCGTGACCTTGCTATAATCAGGAGTTTGGGGTTTCTTTTGTTTTTGTTTTTATTTTTATTCTTTGGAATTGTCTACATTCATGTTATTTGCAAACAAAGACAGCTTTATTTCTTCCTTCCCAATCTGCATACATTTTCTTTCCTCTTCTTGTCTCAGTGCACTAGCTAGGACTTCCAGAACAATGCTGAATGAGAGTGGTGAGAGGGGACCAACCTCGCCTTGTTCCTGAGTTATTTTAAATAAAGTCCCAGATGTCAGAGCATTTTATCTGTAAATATTTTGACATGTATGTCCTAGATATAAGGACTCTTAAAAAACATAAGTACGATATGATAATTTTTAAATTATCATATCTAAAAATATCAATAATATTCCTATATCACCACATGGAGAGCAGGATGTTTTTAAATCTGTACTCTCATTACTTAACACTCCCAGCCCAGCATGTTACACACTATATCGTGAACAAGGCTCTGTGCACACTTACGATGATTTCTCCTTCCTCCACAGTATGGATCTTCATGTAGGCCCCCACTGCAGCCTCCTTGGGGAGCTCACCATGTTTGGTATTTATCATGGGACACTTGATCATACGAGGACGCCTGGATCTGAAATTTGATAACTTGTTAAAAAGAACTCATTTGTAACACAGCCACTCATGAGGCCACAGATAATCAACCCCAACTGCACTGCATATGGAGATCTCCCCTCCCTTCCCCTAGAAGGTGAGGAAACTCAAATTAAGTGCTGGGAGAGATGGGTTATACCAGGAATTAGAGAAGTTTAATAGAGGGGAGACTTGGAAGAGAAGAAAAGAAGGCTATTATATGGAATTTCTAAGTCAGAGCTGTCTGAAAATGGAGCAGACTGTTTAACAAAAAGTAAGCTCTGTGCCCCTGGAAACAAAAGAAGCTGGGGCTCTTCTTGACAAGAAGGCAAAGAAAAGATGAATTGTTTGTTTGTTTGTTTGTTTGTATTTGTTTACAAAGACAAGTTTCCTTGGGCGGCCTGGAGACTCTGTACTTTGTTCATGTTGGGGTTAATTTTACACAGGCAATCCTGTTGTGCTTTCTTTGGTCTCCGGCCATGTAGAAGGAAGAGACATGTGGATTAGAGGCAGGGAAAAGATTATTTACCAGCTGAGACTATAGCTGAACTCACTCAACACATAAATAAAGCAGGCTTCTATTCTCACCCTCCCACACCCCCGACGACGTGTATATCAGTGGCACATGCCCAGTATGTCCTTTATTTTTCACTTCTGGGTCTAACCTGTCCCTTCTCCCTTACTGATTTATAGCAGAGAAACTGGCTCTGTTCTCTACCTTCAGTAGAATGGAGACTGGGATTTCAAGTACTGGATCCCCTAGAAAGAATATCCATCAGAGGGAAAAACAACTCAGATGTTATGGGATGCTCATTATGGAGTCAAGCAGGTTAGAATGTTAATAGGCAAAGGACTCTAGTGAGTGGCACTATGACAATATGGAGATTGCAACACTGATGCTATTATCAATATCACTGCAATATTTTTATTTCATATTTAATGGGGGACGGGGCTGTCGTGTTGCTCTGGGCCCAGCACTGAACTGCCTCTACGCCAGTGCCCATTGGGGTACCCTTCCCTGCTCCTCAGCCTTTCTGGGCTGAGGCAAATGTGCAGCTCTCCTTGTTCCCATTGTGACAATCGTACCAGTTAATAAGACTGAGTGCTAACAAGCTGCCTGGGCTTGAATCCTGGCTCTGCCACTTTATACCTGTGTGACTTTGAACAAGTAACAATCTCTCTCTGCACCTTGGAAAATGGGAGTGATAAAAGCAGTACTTACACTTACCTCATAGGGTTTTTGTGAGGATTAAATTAGATAATCCAGGACCAGGCACAGAGTATTCCATGAGTGTTAGCAACCGTTATCATTATCTTGTTTAATTTCTGGCTTGCAACAACCTCAAGACTTAAACACTATTATCTACAGACAAGGAAACTAAGACTTACAGAGGTCAAACCCTTTGCCCAGGGACACAGAGCTAAAATAAGTGGCCAAGCCAGGATTTGAACCTGAGTTGGACTCCAAAACCCAGGCTCTTATCTACTGCCTCCCTGAGATGGGTAGAATTTTCTGAAGAGGCTCAGAGTCAGAAAGGCCCAGTGACACACAGACAGGAAAATCTCTCCTGCCCCTTATTCCTCAAATGGGTTTTCTAAGAAGAGAAGTAGCCGACAACGTAAAGTGAGCCTGTGAGTTAGAGGCAGAGCATGCAGCTCCTGGTTACACAACTCAGCATCTCTCTAGGCTGCCTCCCCCACATACCCCAACTTTTGGGGTGGAGTTGTGCCTGCTACCTCTGCCCCTTCCCCAGCATCCTCGAAATTCTGCCCTGTGAGTTATATGGCACTTTTCAACCAGAATCTGGACACTTCTATCTGCCAAGAACTAAGCTTACTCGATCTTCGGGCCCAAAGTCTTTGGGAGACTATTTTCTGAGGTATTAATCTTCCTACTGAAGCTGGTTCCCTGTTGCTCCCAGGCTTTCTGGAGATGCTGAAGTTTCAGAGTGCTAAAGTCCTGTACAGGATATGATTTTATCTGGAATTTCTTAAATCTCTCCACAGGAGAAGGTTCTGTTGGAGAAAGCACAAGAAAACACATTAGTGGGCCTTTGCATACATGAGGGGTGTGGTGGTGGTGGATGAAGGTATATCATAGTCATCTGCCTAGCTAATCTGGTGCATGGGGAAATTAAGAAAAATAGAAAAGGAAAACACTGTGGCTTCCGTGTATTGTCCCCCTGTGTCAGGCCCTGAGCTAGAGCTTTTATATCCATTACATCCAGACAAGTGTCATCAGCTTCATTTAAGAGAAAATGAGCAACAGAGAGTTTAAGTCACCCAGGAAGAGGCTGAAGCTTGGATGTGAACTCAGGTCTATTTGATTCAAAGCTCATGTCTTTTAAACTGGGACTAGGGGCAGGAGTTGCAATAAAAGATAAGTAGATTGTATCAATGCCAACTTCCTGGTTGCAATATTTTAATATAGTTTTACAAGATGTTACCATTGATATGGGTACATGGGATCTCTCTGCATTATTTCTTACAGCTGCACATGACTCTACAATTATCACAAAATAAAAAGTTTAATTAAAAGTAAAAAAAAAAAAAAAAGATAAATGGATGACCAGCCATAGAACGTTGAACAAGTCATATGATCTCTTGGAACTCTCATAGGACTATTGTAAGAATTGCAGATAAAAGTATGTGCCATGAGCCTGGCACAGTGTCCAGCACATAACAGGCCCTCCATGAGAGTTATCAACAAGTTCTCCCAGAGAATACTACTCAGAAATAAAAGGGAATAAACCATCTACTCAAAAACATTATGCTGAGTGAAAGGAGCCAGACCCAAAAGAGTATATACTATAAGATTCCATTTACATAAAGTCCTAGGAAAGACAAATGTAACTTATACTAATAGAAAGCAGATTGGTGGTTGCCTAGGGCCAGGGGTAAATGGTAGCAACTGGCTGGAAAGGGGCACGAGGAAACTTTTCTGGAGGATGGATCCTATAATTTTATTCTGGTGGTTACAATAGATATGTTTGTCAAAAGTCATTGAACTGCACATTTTAAATGTGTTTTATTGTATGAAAATTAAACCTTAATAATGACTTTAAAAATAGATCTCCAAGTGTTAGAATCAGCTATCAAAATTAATGTTAACATTAATAAGTCCAAACTGCACAAGCAGTAGTGCCTGGATTAATAAAGCACACATAAAAAGGCCTGAGTACAACCTATTTGGAAGGCATTTTGGCGATATCAATATTTTAAATATGCATTGCCAGCACACAGTGGATTATTTGATCCAGTAATTCTAAGAATTTATCCGACATGTCTCCTAGCACAAGTATGCAGAGATAAACACACCAGGAAATTCACCACGGGAAAGCAATAGTGAAAAATTGGAAATAACCCTAAATATCTATAAAAGGTAATTGGTTTAATTAATTATGGTATATTCATATAGTAGAATAAAATTTGGCTATTAAGAAACATAGATCTAGACTTCTGGTTCCAGCCAAATGGAGGAACAGGGACCAGATATATTCTCCCACCTGAAACTACTATAATATCAGGCTAAAAGTATGAAAAAGTGCTTTTTAAGATATTGGTCATCCAGCCACAAAGAATAGCAATCCTCACAAAATAGAAAACAAAGGGGATGAGTCCTACTATTGCCCCAGCTTACTGCCTGGAGATTTCCTGGGAAGTGCAGGGAAGGGAAACCCAGTGATCTCTCCAAACTGATGAGACAGAATTGAGACTCCCAGGGAGAACAAAGCAGCTAGAGTCATAGAGCAGAGTATGGGCAAGAGAGAGCTGCAAAAGAACTCTAAAGATCTTCTAGGCTCCCTCTTCAGTCTCAGCTGAGTGCTGAGCAGTACATGTATGAGTGTTAGGAAACTGCCAGCAATAGGCGGCCTCTAAGATGGCCCCCAATGATCTCCACGCCTCCTGGTATTCACGCATTGTGTAAAACCCTCCCATTAAGTGTGGGTTGGACTTGATTCTAACAAAGAGAATACGGCAGAAATGATGGGATGTCACTTTCAATTAGGTTTAAAAGACCATAGCTTTCACCTTGGGCTAACAAAGAGAATACGGCAGAAATGATGGGATGTCAAGCTTCCACCTTGGGTATACTCCGTGTTGCTCTCTCTCACTCCTGGGGAAGGAAGCTGCCGTGTCATAAAACAGCCCTGTAAAGATATCCATGAGGCAAGGGCCTAAGGCTTGCAAACAGCCATGTGAGTGAGGTTGGAAGAGGCTCCCTCCTAGCTGAGGCTTTAGATGAGACCATAACCCTGGCAGATAGCTGCAAACCCATGAGAGAACTTGAGCCAAAGCCATCTGCTAAGCCACGTTCCAGTTTCTTACCCACAGAAACAGAGATAATAAGTGTTTGTTGTTTTAATTCAGTAAGTTTTATGATAATTTGTTACACGATAATAGATACTAATACAGTACACAAGGCTGGGGAAAGAACCATCCAAAGTAATTAGAGGGATAAACCATCAGAGTTCACACAGGGCCAGAAGTAGTTCCTATTCCCAAAAGCCATAACAGAAAACCTCATGAGTCATGGGGCACTGTGAAATATTCAAAATGGTTTTGCCTCATGAATGGGGCAAAATTTTCTCTAGATTGAACACTGCTCTGACCCTGCCTAACAAAGCTTAAAAGTCTCCAAAATATCAAAATATTTCCAAGTAACTTAACTACATCCTAGAACAAAGCTCAGGAATATTTACAGGAATAAAAAAATATGTAGCATCCAAAGTTACATTTGTCTTTCCTAGGACTTCATGGAAATTCAGTTTCTAGCATCTTATGAACAATTACCAGGCATGCAAAGAAATAGGAATGTATGAACCATATAAAGAGAAAAATTGAAACTGACCTAGAAATGACACAGAAGATAGAATTAGTAGAGAAGGACATTAAAATAGTAATTGTAATTGTATTCCAAAGAAGAAATTTTGTATAGATTAAGCAGAGACATGGAAGTTATATAAAAGAGACCCAAATCAAACTTCTAGATATGAAAACTATAAGATCTGAAATGAAAAATATACTGGATGGGATTAACAGAAGATTAGACAATGCAGAAGATTAGTGAACTTGAAGACAGCAATAAAAACTATCCAAAATGACAGAGAGAAAAAAGACTGAAAAAAAATTAACAGAGCATCAGTGAAACAACTTCAAGCAATCCAATATACATGTAATTAGAGTCCCCAAAGTGTAGGAAAGAAAGGGAAATACAGAAAATTTTTTGAAAATTAATGGCCCTAGAATTCCAAATCTGATGAAAAATAAACCCAAAAGATCCAAGAAACTAAATTAACCTCCAGCACAGAAACATAATGAAAATTATGCCAAGGCACAACATAATCAAATTGCTTAAAACTACTGATAAAATGAAAAATTTTAAACCAGCCAGAATAAAAAGGCACATTATACACAGAGGATATACAAAATTATGCAAAGAGGTTATACAAAGATAAGAATGTTGGCAGACTTCTTATTGAAAACAATGCAAACCAGAAGATAGACTTTAATACATCATTAAAGTACTAAATTAAAAAAATCTGTTAACTTAGAATTCTATACCCAGTGAAAATTTCTTTCAAAAGTATAAACAGAATCATTTTCAGACATAGAAAAGCTGAAAGAATTTATCACCAGATGTTCTGAACTATAAAAAAAAATGTTAAAGGAAGTACTTCAGGCAGAAGGAATGGTACTATGGAAATCTGGATCTAAAGAAAGGAATGAAGAGCATCAGAAATGATGACTACATAGGTAAATATAAAAGACTTTTGTTCTTATGATTTAAGTATATTTAAAAGTTAATTGACTGTTTAAAGCAAAAGTAATAACATGTAAGGTCTTTAATATATGAAAATAGAATATATCACAATAGCACAAAATCTGGGAAGGGAGAAATGGAAATATATTTTTGTAAAGTTCTGATTCTACAAAGTGGTATAACATCACTTGAAGGCAGACTGTGATAAATTGAAGGTATATATAATAAATTATAAAGCAACCACTAAAATAACACAACAAAGAGTTATAGCTAATGAGCCAACAAAGAAAATAAAACAGAATCATATAAAATAATCAGTTTAAAAGGAAGCAGAAAAAGAAAAAGGAAATAAAGAACAGAGGAGAACAGGACAAATAGAAAACAAATAACAGGATGGTAGATTTAAACTCAACCATAATCAGTAATAATATTAAATATAAACGGTTTAGAAATCTCAGGCAGAGGTTGTCCAATTGAATTTTAAAAAAAGCAAGACCCAACTATATGCTGCCTTTATGAAACCCAATTTAAGTATAAAGACAGATATTTATTAAATATAAAGGGTGGAAAAAGATATACCAAACTAACACTCATCAAAAGGAGCAACTAAATTAATATCAGAAAAAGTGGGTTTTAAAGAAAAAACATATTACCCGGGATAAAGAAGATCATAATGAGTAAGAACTCAATTCTAAACATTTATGTATCTAATAAAGAGAACTTCAAAATATATGAAGCAAAACCGGGTAGAAATGCAAAGAGGAAAACATATCTACAATTGTAGTTGGAGATTTTAACAACTCTCTATTAATAATTGATTTTTAAAAAGTAGACAAAATCAGTAAGGATATAGATGACTTGAACACAATCAACTTGACCTGACATTAATAGAACACTGAGCCCATTTCCAAATGCAAATGGAACATTTACCAAGAAAGACGATATTCTGAGCCATAAAACAAGTTTGAATACATTCTGGAGGATTCAAATCATACAAAGTATGTTCTCTTAGAAATCAATAACAGAAAGATAGCTGGATAATCCCCAAATGTTTAGAAATTAAATAAATAAAACCATCCTAAACATTTAATAGGTTAATGGGTTCTCTTCTTTCAAGAAGAAATCAAAAGGAAAGTTTAAAAGCATTTTGAACTGAAGACTATGAAAACATAACATATCAAAATTTGTGTAGAACACCCTAAAGATTCCATGATAAAACTTTTACAGCTAACAAATGAATTCGGCAACATATCAGGATACAAAGGCAACACAAATCAGTTGCATTTCTACATACTAACAATGAACAATCTGAAAAGGAAATTACAAAAACAATTCCATTTACAATAGTGTCAAAAGAATAAAATACTTAAGAATTAACTTAATCAAGGATGTGAAAGACTTGTGCAAAGAAAACTACAAAACATTGCTGATAAAGAAGACATAATAAATGGAAACACATCTCATGTTCATGAACTGGAAGACAAAATTGTTACGATGTCAATATTACCCAAAGCAATCTACAGCTTCAATGAAATTCCTATCAAAATCCAAAATCCCAGAGACTTTTTTGCAGAAACACAAAAACCCATCCTAAAATTTCTAAGGAATCTCAAGGGACCCCAAATAGCTAAAACAATCTTGAAAAAGAAGAGCAAAGGTGGGGGACTCACACTTCCTGATCTCAAAACTTACTACAAAGCTACAAAAATCAAAATAGCGTGATACTGGCATAAAGATAGACATATACCCAATGGAACGGAATAGAGAGGACAGAAATAAGCCCTCACATATATAAGATCAAATGATTTTTGACAAGGGTGCCAAGACTATTCAATGAAGAAAGGACAGTCTTTTCAACAAATATGCTGGAAAAACTAGATATCCACATGCAAAAGAATGAAGCTGGATCCTTATCTCACTCCATATACAAAAATTAACTCAAAATGGATCAAAGACCTAAATGTAAGATCTAAAACTATAAAACTCTTAAAATATAAGGCAAAAGCTTCAAGACATTGGATTGGCAATGACTTCTTGGATATAAACCAAAGGTACAGGCAACCAAAGAAAAAATAGCCAAATAGACTTCATGAAAATTTTAAAATTTTGTGCATCAAAAGACAAAATCAATAGAGTAAAAAGGCAAACTACAAAATGGGATAAATATTTGTAAAGCCTAAGTCCGATAAAGGATTAATGTCTAGAACACAGAGAGAAGTCCTAAAACTTAACAAAAAACAGATTTTAAAATGGTTAAAGGAATAGACATTTCTTGAATAGACATTCTTCCAAAAAAAGACATAAAAATGACCAACATGCATGTGGAAAGATGCTCCACACATCACTAATAATTAGGGAAATGCAAGTCAAAACCACAATGAGATACCACCTCATACCCATTAGGATGGATACCACTCAAAGAAAAAACAAGTGTTGATGAGGATTTGGAGAAACTGGATCTTGTGCACTATTGAGTGGTAATATGAAATGGTAATAGCCACTGTGGAAAACAGTATGGCAATTCCTCAAAAGATTAAAAATAGAATTTACCATATATCCAGCAATTCTGCTTCTGAGTATATATTCAAAAGAAAAAAAAAGGGTCTCAAAAATATATTTGTACACCCATGTTCATAGCAGCATTACTCACTATAACTAAAATGTAGAAGCAACTCAAGTGTCTATTGACAGATGAATGGATAAGCAAAATGTCAAATATGCATTACAATAGAATGTTATTCAGCCTTAAAAGGGAAGGAAATTTTGACCTACAACACAACATATATAGAATTCAAGGACATTATGCTAAATGGAATAAGCCAGCCATAAAGGATAAGTACTATAGGATTCCACTTCTGTGAGGTACTTAGAGTAGTCAAAATCAAAGAGACGAAAACAGTAGAATGATATCTGCCAGAGGCTAGGGGGAGGAGAAAGAGGGAGTTACTGTTTAACGGGTACAGTTTCAGTTTTACAAAATGAAAAGTTATGGAAATGAATGGTGGTGATGGTTGCACAAGATGAATATATTTAATACCCCTGAACTGCATGCTTAAAAATGGTTAAGATAATAAATTTTGTTGTGTGTATTGTGCCACAATTTTTAAAAACTGCAGAAAAAATTCATAGGATGTAGCTTTTTCTCTGTTAGATTGGCACTGGAAAAGAAGGAAAAAAGAAGTGACGTGAAAATTGACATTTACTGAGCACCTACCAAGCCCCGTGCATGCATGATTTCATTCAGCTTTCCTAGCAACCTGTGTGATGTCAGTGATCATCTGCTATTCACTAATGCACCCAGGTAGTGTTCTGAGAGCTTTACATATTCATCTGCTTAATTTCATAACAGGTATGTGAGGTCCCTACCTCACATACCTGTTATGAAATTAAGCAGATGAATATTTCACATTCAATTCACATTTTACAAACTCCGAGGGCACTAATGCACAGGGACATAGAGTGACTTGTCTAGAATCCACCAGCTCATAAGTGACAAACCCTGGATTTAAACCAAACACAAGCAGTTTGATTCCTGGGTCTGTGCTCTTAAGCACAACACGACTGTGACAAAGAGACCAGGCCCAGAGACTTAACTACTCATCAAAGTCGCCCAGCTAATCAGTGGGATTCAAATCCGGCTGTCTAGTTTCAAGCTCTGTTTTTCCCACCCTCTCCCTGGGAGAACCTAAAGCAAAGGGGAAAGGTTGAAAAGGAGGAGTAGGAGAGGTGGGCCAAAGCCTAACCTGGCCGGGCCCTGTGGACCAGATTTCCACAGCTGGTAGAAGGGATCAAACCAGACATCCTGCCAGGCCCTTCTAGCTCTAGATTTCTAAGACTATGCACTGGGAACTGGAAACAGAAAGGGACCGGGAGCCCCCTGCTATGCTGTCAGCTGCCCGATGTGGACAATGGCTAACCTTTGAAGTGGGTCTTCATAGGTCTGTCATATACCAGCTCCAGATGCTGCCAGATCCACTTGTAGTAGGAAGGCGAGGCCCCAAGGTCTATCAGCCGCAGGACTTCACAGCTGCCCTGGACACATCAAGGGACACAAACAAAAGACTTAACCCCCCGAGATTCTAAGCAGGCTAGGCTTTGAAGATATGTTCTTTTCTGTATTGCATCTTACCCCATCTTGTTTTACTTGCTTAATAAAAGTGGTTTTGAGTCCCTTTAAAAAAAAAATGAAAATGTTATCTACTTATAAAAAATTCAAATAGCTAAAGAGGCATTAGAACCAAATACAATGCTGGCACTGGAAAAATAATCACTGAGGATGATATTGGGACAATTGGTGAAATAGATTGTGGACTGTAAATTATATGTTACAGCAATGTTAAGTTCCTAGATTTTGATAATTATTCTGTGGTTAATTTCTGATCTTAGAAAATAATAACTTAAGTGTACAGGGGTAAATGAGTATGATAAATGATACTTAACTCTCAAATAATTCAGGCAGGAAAAAAATATATATCTTAAAGTAAATGTTAACAATTGGCGAATCCAGGTTAAGATTCTACAGTTCTTTGTACTGTTCTTGCAAATTTTCTATAAATTTAAAATCATTGTAAATTAAAAGTTTTAAAAATATTCAAAACAAACAGAAGAACATGGAAAAAGTTAAAACAATGTTAATCCTAACACTCAGAAATAACAAGTAATAACATTTTGGTACTTTATTATTTCAAACTTTTCTCTACGTGCATATAAGATGTACATATACAATTTTTCATAAATTAGTCCACTTATGTAAAAGATTTTTATACCCTTTATAAAAACTTAGTAATACATCAAGGATGTCTTTTCGATATCAAACAATATTGTTCTACATTAGTTTTTAATGATTGCATATTATTCTATGTATGCCATAATTTATATAAAATTGAAAATAAATATTCGGTTGAGCAAAAGAAGTCAGACACAAAAAGCGCAGACTGCATGATTCCATTTATATGAAATTCAAGAACAGGCAGAACTAATCTGTGATGACAGAAATGAGAAGAGTGGTTATCTTTCTGGGGCGGGGGGTTGTCTGGGAAAAGGCACAGAGAATCTTCTGAGGTGCTAAAAATGTGCTCTATTTTGATTTGAATGATGCTTACACAGATATATACATATATAAAAATTCATCAAGCTATAAAGTTTAGATTCGAGTTCTTTAGTGCATATATGTTATATCTCAAGAAAATATTTTTGAAGATTAATATGTAGTTGTTTCTAACTTGTCAGTATTGTATATAACTCTGTTTTTGTTCAGGACAGCAAAATCCCCAGTTAAAAATGTGTGGAAGACTGACCGATGACTAAAACTCCACGGAAAGCTATGGTTGTCATTCCCCCTTCCCATTGCCTGAAACTCAGATGTGATGGCTGGAGGTGGAACAGCCATGTTGTGACCATTAGAATGAAAGTCATAAACTGCAGATGATAAAGGGAGAAATCTGGGTTCTAGAAGAAGTCTGGGTTCTGGAAGACTTTCTAGAACAGCTCATCTAGCTCTGGATTGCTTAATTCTAGACCCTACTGCATGAGAAAAATAAATTGCTATTTATTAAGCCACTGCAGTTGGGTTTCTGAGACTTGCAGCGGACAGCAACTTTAACTGACAATCTTGTACATACTTCTTAATGTCCAGAGTGGTCATTAAGGCAGTTCACAAATACTTGAGTTCTCCTCCCAGGCACATGGCAGGATGATACTTTTCCACCTTTTGAATTAGGCATGGCCTCTTACATGCTTTGGTCAATTTCCATTAGCAAAGTGACTCGTGATACTCTTGAGTAGGATCTTTAGAAGCTAGGGCTTGATTCTCAGCATTCCCTTCCCTTGCCCTATCGATCATGGGAGCATGGGTCAAGACAGAATCTACAGTGGCCTGAGTCCCTGAGTAACCATAAGGAGCAAGACCTGCTGGCCTGCTATGATTAAGTAGTGGGATGAAGGAATAAATCTTTGTTAGTTAATCCACTGAGATTTCAGGATTTTTTTTTTTTTAATAATTGCAGCAGAATCTAGTTTACCTAATAGAATACTCGTTTGATTATCTGCCTGGGATTAATTCCTAAAGGTACGCCATGTTTTAAATACACATTGCCAAACTGCACTTCAGAAATGTAAGATCAGTTTATACCCTCTCCCACATTGCATAACAGAACCCATTTTAATACATCTTTGTATTGCACTAACAACATCTGCACAATCCTTTTATCTTTCCTAATCCTATAGGAAAGAAGATGTCATTTTTCTTATATGTTTCATAGCTTATGATATTTTACCTTTTTTAGTAGGAATACTAAGAGATATATTATAAAAGGTTATGGTTCAAGACAGATTACTGTTCAAGAGGATGGAGAAGAAAGGATCAAACATTTAATAAAACCTTACTATATGCCAGGCATTGTGCTTGGAGCTTTAATTAACATTCATTCAACAAACATTTATTCATCAGGAACTACAGGTGCTAGAGAAAAACTCCAACAGTTTCCTCTTGGAAAGTCTCTCATGGGTCTTTAATCGCATCTGTATCTATAGAGAAAACAACTTTATCATGTGTTCCCCACATGATAAACTGTTCAAAATGAGTTGATTATAGGCATTAATTATGTTTGCGATGCCAGCAGGAAATCAGGTTCTCCAACTAAGTCCCAAGGACTCCTGGTTACCCGCAGCTGATTTCGCCCTCTAGTGGCTATATGAGTAAATGACAGGAGTCAGGACAGCCTGGTCTTAGCCGGCTAGTCAGGAAATAAAAATGAGAAAAAAGAGCAGTCCCTTTTGAGCTGGCAGGCGCTCTTCAACTCCAGCCAGACAAGGCCGCACCAGAATACAGCCTAGTGTTGTCTGATCTTCTGAATAGTCAAAAGAAGCCAGAACTCAATATTTTTATTTACGATCTTCACATTAACGATTAAATCAGCTTTTAATAAAACACTGTAAGAAATAAACTCATCTGCTGGCCAGGAGGCCTCCTACCTGCTGTCACTCTGTGACATCTGTATTATTTTTCTCAGAATGAAGTTCAAGCACCCTTGCATTACAATCACCTGTGACACTTATTCAAATGTAGCTTTCCAGAGTTAACTAATTTTAAAGAAAAAATTTTAGGAAAGAGGAAGCAGATATATGGAGGTGGGGGCGGGGATTGCAAATTATTCATGTTGGCCATCAGGGCTCTTTACTACCGGTTCCTCTTTTAGGTTCTCTCCTACCTCTTCTCACATGATCATCAAGATTCTCCAAACTTAAACAAACCCCAGGCACATCCCTACTGTGTTCCGCTTCCCACTATTCCCCTCAGCTGGCAAGGATCTCATGCTCATCCCCACCCTCCTCCGCGTCAGATCTTGTGCATCTGAATCCCCATGTGAGTAGAGGCTGGAAGCCAAACACTACATTTCCTAAGCTTTCTCGTAGCTAAGGCTCTGGGTGATTTGGGTTCTGCCAATCCAACGCACTTGGGCAAGGCTTGGTTTTGGAACTGCCGGACATCCACTTCGTTAGTGGAGGCAGTGGCTATACAACAGGCTTCCTGAACGTGGCAGGAGAAGCAGCACCTATGGCAGTCCAGTTCTGGACTCTGATCTGGAGTTGTTGGGAGTCATTTTCAGTCTAGGTCTGTTTCTTCCGGCCTCCCACATTCCCCCTCCAGTAAATCTGCTAGCCATTTAACATCCTGCAAAAAACCCCTTTCTGTGTATATTAGCTAGACTTGACTTTGTTCTCTGGGATCAATCCCAGAATAATAACACAAACACACCCCTGATGGTGCTGCTAAGTTCAACAACCAGCTCTCTAGGAAAATGTATGCAAGTCTATAAATTTTACTGTTATAAAGGGTGCATTATACACAATTTATAAATAGTAACAAAATACACTATATTTTATTGGAGATTTCATATAGTCAACTGATTATCACAATGCTTTTGTTGACCTTGGCTGAACTCTTGTGTCCATGGCCAATCTGTAGTCACAGTTCAACCATGATTTGACAAACAAATTTGTATCTCAGTCCACTCTTTTCCCAATTAAGTAAATATTATTAAATCTGATTTGTAATCCACTGGTAAACTATATCTCACTCTCATATAAATTACATTCATTAAATTGAAACCTCTTTTAGCTTTATCACTATGTATATCAGAACTTCACTGGTAATCTATGATATGAGTAATTTCTATGATGAATCAGATAATACTTTTTAAACACTAGAAGAATATTTTCTCAATCTTCTTCTCTTAACAGTATAATGGCTACAGACCCTGCCTATTCTTAAATTTAATCTGCATTATAAACATTTTCTCTATAATTTTAAGATAATCAGCAAAGCCATAAATCAAGACCTGATACAGTGTGTCTGCCAATTTCCATTGTGTAAATACTGCCCTCCATGGCTGATTTTAAGCTACCAATGTGAAGTCATTGAACATGGAGTTGAGAAGAGATGGACACAACTGTATAGTATTTCTGCCATATAGATGCAGTAGACATAAATAACCTCAAGAGCATAGGTAATAGTCAAATGCAGTAACATCATTAAAAAATGATGAGTTTTCAGTATTTATTACTCTTGTTTCCGATGTATTTAATTGTAGGCTTATATAATTTAATTTTTAATAATTATAGTGTTTACCGACTCAGAGAATTCCTGAAAACTTACTCAGCTCTTGAAGGCCACCATGCGCCAGCTTCAGCACACAACCAATTTACCCCTTCCTTTTGTCTAATGGTCCAATACTTCAAGGCTCATTTCCCATCTCACCTCTTCCAGGAAGCCTTCCTTAAAGTCTCTACCTTTTGAGCGCTCTCCCTCCTGAATTCTTATAACTTGCAGAGTTTGCACTAATCACTTGGTAGTTGGTGCTGACAACTTTGTCTATGCTCAGAATCTAGGGGAGGAGATATATAAGGAGAAAGAACCAGTCTCTTCCATCTTTGTATCCTTTCCCAGCCTGGACCTTGGCAAAAGCTCAACAAATGTCTGCGGTGGCTTAACATGTAAACAACAGATATATGGGAGATGCTAAAAGTTTGCAGGCAGAATTCTGGCTCTGCTCCTTAGCTGGGTGGCATTTTTTAAGGTGTCTTAGCTTCAACTGTAAACTTGGAATAATAATATCTTCTTTGTAGAGCTATGGTGAAGATTTATGGTGAAATGGTACTATGTACATGGTTATTAATCAAAATACTATTTGAAATACCAAAATATTAAGATAACTTAAATATCCATCAATAGGAAGCTGGTTAAATAAACTAAAGTACAACCATACAGTAAAATACTACGCAAGTGGGAAAAAAATAATGAACGTGTTCTTTATGTACTAATATGGAAAAAATATTCTTAAATGAAACAGTGAGGTGCAAAACAGTCTGTGTAGTATGACATCATTTATGAAAAAAAGGAAAAAAACATATACAAATGCATTTGCCTATATATGCAGAGAGTATATATGCAGGACAGATACATAGGCAACTGATGGCAGTGGTTGCCTCTAGGGAGGAATACTGCGTGGCAGGGGAAAGAGGAAGAAGGGCGACTCATCACTCTTTTAATCCTTTTGAATTTTGAGCCATGTGAATGTATTATTACCTATTCCAAAATAAACCAAAACAAATAAACAAAAAAATAATGATGCTAGTAGAACCCCTAGCACAGGAGCAAAAAGCCTCAAAACAATGGTGGTGGTGGTGGGAGGAGGGGGAGGAGGAGGAGGAGAAGGAGGAAGAGGAGGAGGACCACTACTTAGGGTTGAGCAGAGTCAATAATTGACAGAAAGGCCCAAACCAAAGGCAGGGCCAGGACTGAAGGGCTAGGAGACAGAATAACCAGTAAGCTGAAGTAAGGAACTTTTGGAATGTTCCTTGGAATGGTAATAGCTTAGTGAGGCATGGAACAGGGAGAAGCTCCTGGAGGAACAGAAGTGAGAGATCACAGCTGGTGGGTTACATGGGTGTATCTGAGGAGCAGCAGAGGGGCGTGGCTGGAGGGGAGGGCCTGGAGAAGAGGGCAGAGGGAGCCAAAGTGGGAGGTGACAGGAGACTGGCTAGGTGATGGGATATAGGCTAGGGGATAGGGGGGTGGGTAAAATATTTGAAGTCAGACAGACCTGGGTGGAAACGCCTCTTT